AAAATAAAATTTTAATTTTTGACCATTTTAGAAATTAATTTCTTAAAAAAATTAATATTTTAAATATCTACGTATCTTCTTTTTCAATTTTTTGACTATTTTTCATTGCCAATTTTTTTCCACGCTTTTTTAATGATTCTTAGGAATCTCTCGCATGGATTTTTAAAAATTTTAATTTTTTCAAGAAAAAAAAGAAAAATATCAGTTAAAACATCATTGCACTCTTCTATTAAATATGTATCTTCTTTCACAATTTTAAATATTTTTCATCGTCAAATTTTTTCCACACTTTTTTAATGATTCTTTAGAATTTCTCGCATTGATTTTCAAAAATATTAATTTTTTCAAAAAATAAAAATTCTAAAATGGTCAAAAAATAAAATTTTCTTTTTTTAACCACCTTATATGTTTTTTAGGATCCAAATGATGCAAGAAAGAAAATAATCGTTTAATAATTTAAATTTAAGTGGGTCAAAATAAAGGTTGCGTGACTCCCCTTAAAAATGATATTTTTTGTCCTTAAATGACAAATAAATAAATATTTTAAAAATTACATTCTTGAATGTTGCAAAAAAATAAAAATCCCAAAATTTTTGCGAATATTGACCAATATTTTTTGGAGAAACGTTTTTTCCAAAAATTTGTGAAATATTTCTCTAAAATTCTTTGGGGAAAAATTATGAAATATTCTATGTGATTTGTCGGGAATGTTCTCTTATGAAAATTTACTAACAATAATGAATATTCCCTAATTTAAAATAAAATAATAAATAAATAATAATAAGTAAATGAAGTATATACGATAAAGAACATTTCAAATTATCCCGCGGTTTTTTTTACCAATTAGATCACATTCAAAAATCATCAGCTTATGCTTTGGCGCGCCGGTGAGTATTGTCAAACAGTTTGTAGTAAAAATATATTATCGTTGATATTAGATGCACAATTATAACTATACGGAACCTTTGAAATAAAAATTTTTAGAGAAAACGTGAGTTTATATAAAATTATAAACAATAAGATTCGAAGTTTTGTAAGTGAAAAATATTTATACATTAACCGCTATTAAATCAAGAGAATTATCGTTTTTGATAACCTAACCTTAAAGTTTAATAGACTTTAAAGAACAATGTTTTGTTGTAAGATTTTTAGAGGGATACAAAAATTCCATTCCAATTTGACGCCATGCGTCGGGTCCTAATATTCTAACCTGTACTAGAATGCCTGCATGATTTTAGAAGAAAAATTTGTAAATTTTTATTATTATTTTATTAATATAAATTATAATGACATTTAACTTTTGTCAATAACAATAGTTTTAAATTAAGATAAAAGTAGAAGAATTAGACTGACCAACACCGAAATTTGTCTTTTCTTTTAAAATTATAAAACATAAAAAATGTGTCTTTTTTGTGGATTTCATGCTTATTGCTGTCATATTTATCTGAAAACCAACTGTAATCGATTTTCTATCTTAAATAAATTTTTTAACTTGTTTTATTATTTTCAAGGTCAAGATCGTGAAATAAAAAAATAAGCATATATATATATATATATATATATGCTTATTTTTTTATTTCACGATCTTATATATATATAAAAAAAATTTACTGTTTTTATATTGCCTAAAATTTTAATTCGGATGACGAATAAAATAAAATAATACCAAATATTTAATTTTATCAATACCGAAATTCATCCATACTTTTTTATTTTAAATAAATTGAATTTGTTTATGATTTACATTCAGGATTTGTCGACGATTTTATTTAAAAAATTTTTTTCTAATTTGACATTTTATAATAGAAATAAAGTGATTTTGACTAGTATAATATTTTTATGATAATGACCATTTTTCTAACAAAATTCATAACTTTTTTATTTTTTAATATTAATTCTTCTAATAAATTTTAATAATGCACTACCACAAAAAAATAATTAGATACTTATTTTAAAAATACATTTTTCTGAGAAATTAATGCAACAAGATGTAATAGACGATATAAATTTTTAATATATCTGAAAAATTCCCGGTCATTTCCCGGTCACATTTTAAATTCCTGGTCATTTTCCGGTCATATCGCCACCCTGAAAATTAGTAATCACGCAGCTAAATTTTTTGCTATGACATAATTTGATGTGACAGCAAACATTTCACTCCTATTACAGCAAACTTTTTCTATGCGTGTATTTTTGTAAAATAAGTGAACAAAAGTAAACAATATACGAATAGAAATGAAAATTTAGAAAAAAGAAAAAAATATATGTGACGCATCATGAGAAAAGAGACCTTAAAGGTGAAACATTTTAGGTTATGTTTGTTTTAAAAATATACACAAAGATAATTAATTCTTTATAATTATGTCTTCATTACATCTAAAATATTCAATAGAAACTGATTTTGATTTTATGATTGAAAATGAACGTTTAAGCAAATATCACTAAACATAACCTAAACGTTTTTCATTTTAAGGTCCCTTTTGTCGTAGAGTGTCACATATACGAAATTTCCATAAATGGAGTAGAAATTTTAATAAAAAGGTTTTTCAATTTAAAGAAAATGTTTAAAAATGGAAAAATTAGACATTTTTTGCAGTTTTTGTAGTGTAAAAATATAGCAAAGTTATATAATAAAATACTGTACCCCAGGAAAGACTTATTAGAATTACTAAAAATATATTGAAGTTTGTAAATATTTACTAAAATTTGAAATACATTAATTAAAGATTGATATATATTTTCAGAAATCTAGTACTTTTTATATATCTTTATTACATATTTTAAAACCTATTCATTAAATTGCAAAATATTTACTAAAATTTCTACTATATATAGTTCTTGAAATTTAAGATATCGAACAATACAATTTTATAGACTATAAAAAGATTAGAATTATATAGTTTAAATCTCGAAAAGTGCTGCGAATGTTTACATTTCAATAGATTAAAGTTTTTTGTCCATATCCAATGACATGCAAGCATTCACACATTTCGAGATATAATTCTAATCTTTTTGGTGTAAAGTTAGAGTCTGATTTCTAACAGTGTACAATGAAACCTCGAATGAAACAGAATTTATAAAAAAGCATTTTGTAATTTTTCCGTAAATTTACTGAATACTTTTTAGTCCAATTAAGTTTCGCATTTTTAAATGTTTTAACTCAGGACCGCAAATTTTGTTTGCGGTTTAAACCTTTTTAAATTTAGTACTTCGAACTTCTACGCGGGAATCTAAATTTTTTTATGAAATAAGTGCAAAAAATTAGCGGCAAATTGCCGCCTTTCATTACATTTTAGTGTATAAAAATATAGTTACTATATATGAAAAAGAAAATGTATATAAAATTTCTAGTAATTTAAAAAAAAAAATGAATCCAATAGCATGAAAATTGACCGTAATATGGTTTCCGCAAAAAACCTGTTTATTTCGTGATTTAAGCCAAAATCCAGTATTTTTCAGTTTTTCCAGTACAACTTTTAAATTAATGATTTGTCGAAAAAGACACCAATACACGCAAAAAAAACGTATTTTCAGAAATAGTCCAAAAGTTTTTGAAATAATTGCCACTTGTTTACGTTCATAATTTTTTGTTACTATAAAGTCTAACGCTACTGATTTACGTTCCTAATTTCTGTACTTCTAAATACAAAACTCTATGACTCTTCTAAAATTCATCGTGGATTCGCATTCCTCAATTACTAGGACTGTACGTATTTATAATTTTCAAATTTCATTTTTCTCCGTGTAGAAAGGTCATGCTGACTAATTTTTTGACAATTTGAAACAAAAAAACCAATGGAATATAGCTTTAATAGTTTCTGAAATGCAGCACGGAAAAAAATTATGGCCTGGAACAGCGATAAGTATATATCTGAAACAGCGATATATATTTCTCTAGAATAGCCAAATTTTTCTCTATTTTAGTGAAACATATCGCTGATCTAGGTAAAGATTTTTTTGCGTGAGTTTTTCAAAATTGATCTTTTTTGAGGATAAATTACAAAGGTTCCGTATTTTTTTGCAAATGTAAGTTTTTGTTATTTTTCAAATCTTAGACATATACAAACTTATACTCTCTTAATCTGAATCAGTGAGATCTTTACAGATTTTGCAATTCAGTGACTCACTTTTCACTGATTTTCAGTGAAGATCATTGATTTCCAGTTAAATTTAACTGATTCCCAGTGAATTTCTCACTGATTTTAAATCAATGACCCACTTTTCACTGATTCTGATTAAGAGAGTAAAGATTATTAAACTGTGCATGAAACTGACAAAAGAACATTCTACTTTAAAAATTATTTAAGTTATAATTTTTTTTTAATTACTTTTGAGAACGTAATAATTGAAAGCAACTTCTGGAAATTATTTTCAACCTCAAAAAGGGTCAACTTAGAGATGAGACTTTACCTCAGAAATTATTAGGGAATCACATTGTTTTTTTTTGCAAAATATTTTCATACACTTTTTTTCCAACTATTTTTACGCTAAAATGCAATGGTAGGTGACAATTTGCAAGAAAAACTGAGTTTTTGCACCTATTTCTCAAAAAAATTTTAGGTTCCCGTAGGATGTCGAAGCTCGTCTCAAAGTATCAGGTAAATTTGAATTAGTAGAATTTCACTGGTGTACCAGTTATAAGTATACCACTGGTTTCATTCAATGAAAATTTCACTGGAAACCAGTGTATTTTCACTGATTAACAATCAAAAACCTCACTGATTGAATCAGTAGACTCTGCCGATAAAACAGATTTCACTAATTCAATCAGTGAGATTTTCACTGTCAATCAGTGAAAATCCACTGGTTTCCAGTGAAATTTTCACTAAATGAAACCAGTGGTATTTATAACTGAGTTAAAACGGAATATTTGTTTTTCGCCTATTGGACTAATTAAAGTGAAATGCGAAAAACTGCTGCTTTCATATATAGGAAAAAAAAAGAAAATTTATTTCTCTCTCTACATATATAGTTATATAAATGTTGCAAAACCGACTCACAAGTGTAGTATTCCATCATATTTTGATTATATCGATAAGCTGTACTAAGATCCATTTCGGCACTAGTTTATCCTTATAGGGTTTTTTTTCGGTGAGAGAGAGAGAGAGAGATGATAAATGTAACTATATCCAGGTGGTGGCTTTTCGAAAAGGTGTTCGAAAAATGTATTGAACTTTAATGAAGACTTCTTAACACAATTTTTTTTCACATTGACTTCGAAAAGCATGGACACTTTACGATGTCAGTTTTACAATGGACAGTGATCAAAAAGGTTTTTGTTGTTGCCGACGGGTGGTGATGATGATGGCAGCGGGCATCCGTCCGATCCTGCCGCTTCATCTTATGGCCTTTTATTCGAAAAAAAATCACAATAACTTTTTTTCAAGAGTTCAATATATAATTCACTATATAAAAATTCAAAAATGAATTTCAAAAAGATTTATTTCGCTAACGATATCGTTTTAGTCCATTTGGATTGATGCAATATTCGACCTCTTAGTGGACGTACGAAATAATTGCTCATTCTTTCTCTTAACTTGAAAATAAATGTCCTCTATTCATATATAGATTTTTGTATAAACATAAAAAAAAAGAATTTTACATATTAGGAAAAATATTTTTGTTTACAATCGGACGTTTGCATTTCTTTTTTTAATATTCGCACACAGCACTCACAATCACTAGATTTTAATTCATGTCAGTAATAAATTTTTTTTCATAAATGTAGAAAAAAGTAAGAGAATTTAAAAAAATTTTGAATTAAGATAAAGGATAGTGAAATCGGTTAATTTGATTTTGGGATTATTATTTAGGAAAACTAGCGTTCACGGTGATTGGTCTCGCGACGACACGGTAGCATGGACAGTCTTTGACGGTGGCACGTGACTTTTGGTGACTTCTCGCCCATTTGGAAAACATGAAACATTCACCCCCTCTCTCTCTGTCTCTCTCTCTCTCGCCCTCAACGATGAAGACTCCGCCCTGCAACCCTTAGAATTGTACCACAGCATCCCGTAGACTCGTGATTCCAGTTGGTGGAAGTGAGGTCACGTGATGGAAATTTTGGGCGTATTCTCCGGAGGGTTGCTATAGTAACGCTCTAGGTTTTGGCGTCGCGCGTGGGATAATGCCCGTTATTGGCATCGACAACAACACACAGTGGTAAAGGTTGCGAAATAAGCGTTCGTCGGCTGGTCTACCGCCAACAATCCCACGCGAAATCACGCAGCAGCACACACCAGAGAAGCGACTCTGTTTATTCATGAGCAAGGATGAGAGAGTGAGTGAGAGAGAGAGATGCAAGATTCGCGAAGGGCGCGTCGACAGTATGCCAATTTCTTTTCCTCCTGTTAGATGTCGAGTTTCATTTTTTCCAATTTTTTTTTCTTTTACTCCATATTTCTTGTGACAATTTTTAAGGAAAACAAATTTCTCATTGATTATCACTGTGGGTTAGAAGAAAAATGGTGATGTGTTTATTTTTAACTAGCGATGTATTCCTCGCTCGCTCGGTTATAGTTGTACTTATTGTTGTTTACATATTGTAGTTTATGAATATTATATATATAATTTATGTTTTAAATTAATATATTATTAATATTGTATAAAATTTATCTTAATTTTGATCATTATCATTGAAGGATGAAATGACAATTATTAAATATTAAATGTTTTAATTTATTATAATTATAACAACAATATTAATTATATTATATTATAATATATTTTTTTTTATCTTATATTATATTATATTATATTATATTATATTGCTGTAAATTGCCCCACAAACACATGGAGATTTTGCAAATTTTTTAGAAAAATGTTCATAATAAATCGAAAAACCATTTAAAGTATCTGTATTTATTTTTATTATCCAGAGTAAACCTTTATAAAGAGATTTTAAAGGTATATATATCCAAAAATTCGTAAAAAATTGCACAAAATTGCAAAATAACCCTTTTTCGGGTTAAAGTTGAAAAAACATGTTACAAAAAAAAGTATGTAAGATTTTCTAAAAGCATATGGCAAAGTATTTTGATTTATTTGAAAATAAGTGAAAATAGATTTTCCAAGGACGGTGTCGAGGTAACGCGGTGTCGGTGTCGCTTTTGGATATTTGTTAACTTAATATAATAGAAGATTCCTTGTGTTTATTTAGGTCACACTGAGCAAGAAAACAAATAAAATTTTTTTTTCATTCGGTCAGTTCACACTAAAAAATAATACTTTTAGTTCACTTTTTTGTCTAAATCCGTTAACATTAGAACCATTTTTACTGAATTTCAGCCTTGAGTGTATGATTTTAAGTTCCAAAAATTGACTTAATCTAGTTTTAAGATAAAAATTACACTAGTTTTCAGGCATTTTGATTTTAAGATGTTAACGATTTCAGTATTTGTTTTTTGTGTGATTCTATAAAAACGTAAAGTGTTTAAAAATCGTTTTTTTAGCACTTTTTGAAGTACTAAAATGAAAACATTGATAAAAATCTCTACAAGGGCTTAAATTTAAGCCTAAACCTTCAATTTTAGATCCAAAAACTGAAAAGCAAATAAAAAAAACTAAAATTAACTAAAACTAATTTATTATGTAATCGTTATCTCAAACAGTAAAAATTGATAATTCCCTCATAACAAAAGGATATCCATTTCAATGGTCGATATCCTAGAATGATATCCATAGGACATCCCTAGGATATCTGCAGGATATTATCAATATATCCCAAGATATCTTGTGTTATTATAATTATAATAAAATTATAATTTGAAAAATGTATATCTGCGTCTAATTATGTATCCGGCATTTTTTATTTTTTAAAATAAATTTTAGATTTGTAATCTACTGCAACGCACCGAAAACCCCCGAAGAAGCTGCAAAAGAATTCATTCAATTTTAAAATTTTTCGATCCCATTTTGAAACCGCCGTTTTGAATTTTTTAAATACAACTTTTGATTAGTCAATAGAAAAGTTAAAAACTTCCAAGTGACAAGTTAAAAAATAAATCCGGTTATGAAAATCTATTTTAAAAAGTGGTCTAAAGTTGAAGGTTTAGGCTGTCATTTAAGCCCGTGTAGAGATTTTTATCATATTTTGTTTAAATTTTACAGTACTTTAAAAAGTGTTGAAAAAAGCGATTTTTTATGACATAAAAAATGCTAGATAAATTTTGTTGTGGATAATTTTAACCAATACTAATTATCACATATAGACGCCCCCAACTAGGATAAAATTTGTTGCAGTTAATTTTTATACCGATTTTGGGATAAAAATTCTACTTTTTTAATTTACACTTTAATCTCGTTTTTATGGAACTGACCGAAAGAAAAAATTTTTGTTTGTTTTCTTGTTCAGTGAAACCTAAACTTTCAATAAACACAAGAAATTTTAAATAAACACGACATCGCCATTTTTTTGTAACCCATAGTGTTATGGAACAACTTTGATAATAAAATGAGAAACTAAATAAATCAAGCAGGGTTGCCACGGGTCAGAGAATTCATGGAAAATTCAGGGAAAGTGAAATTGGTCAGGGAAATCATTAGAAAAGTCAGGGGATTTTATAAAAAGTACTGGAAAAATATCAAATTTCTAAAAATGTTACCAAAATTATAATTTTTGAAATTTTCAATTCAAACTTTTGCTTTTAAAAATTATTGTCTTATATTTATATATATAATTGTAGGTCTCGGATCGACTTTTGTAAGAAAAAAAAGTCATTTTATTTTCATTTTCAAAAATAATTTAAAGTTAAATTTAAAAAAAAATTTCAAGTCTGATATAAGCACATTATTCGAATTCAGTATTTTGGAGATTGTGTTAAATAATTAAATTTTCCAAGAATTTAATTAAAATATTATTGAAAAAATTAATTTTAAATGAAAATTTGTAAAATAATTGAACTCCAGAAGATTTGTAAATAAAATTTTAAAAATAATTGAATTTTGAAGAGCATGATTAAAATTTTTTAAACATAATAGAAATATGTTCTGAATATTTGAATTTTAATGGAGTTACAGTTTTTATAAATAATTACATTTTTTGAGATTTCAAAAATTATAATTTTGTTGGAAATATAAACACTAATTAAAAAATGTCCTAAATAATTGAATTTTTGAAAAATTCGATTAAAACTATTGAAATAATTAATTAAACAAAGAATAATAAAATATAGATAAAAATTTGGAGAAAAAATTTTCAATGGAATTGAATTCAACTGAATCAATCATTGAATTAAGTACTAATTGAATTTGGAAGTATTCGAGTTAAAATTTTTTTGGAAAAAAAATGAAGTTAAAAATTTAAGGAATAATTGAGTTTTGGAAGAGTAAAAGTTAAAAGTTTTGAAACTAATTAAATTTCAGGAAATTTTTAATTAAAATATTTTTCATAAATTGGAATTTCTGTAGTTATTTTATAAGCTTTAATCAATAATTAAACTTTGGAGAATTTTGAATTCGATATACTGTTTTAAATAATTGAATTTTCGAAAATCTTGATTAAAATTATAAAAATTAAATTTTTCAATTTTAGAAACAATTGTATATTTTAGAAGAGTTCGAGTTAAAATTTCGTGAAATAATAATGGAATTTCAGGAGATTATTAATTGAAACTTTCATTTTAAAGTTGTGAAACTTTTTGAAAAAATATAGACAATAATTCAACTCTAGTGAATTTTCAATTGAAAACTATTTTAAATCATGTAATTTTCGAAGAGTTTTTTCTAAATTATTGAAAATAATTGATTTTGTAAACAATTCAAGTTAATATATTTTTTTAGGAATTCAATTTTAAAAAATTAAAAAAATTGAAAAAGTCGTGCAATCCGAGGCCTGTTATCGAAATGCTTTTGAAATATTTTCATTATAGGGTAAGGGAAAAAATTTTAAAATTCTGACTGGAAATTAGGGAAAAAGAAAATAATATTTTTGTGTCAACCTTGTCAGGGCAAAATTATTTTTTTGGCGGGTAAAATGGTTTATTATGGTTAAATCAATTTACCGAGTGAATCGATTTGAAAAGTAAACAAACTTATTGGGTATAGACTGATTTTCAAGGTACACTGATTTTTGGATAAACTGATTCATCAGGAAAATAGATTTTCGGGTAAATTGATTTGTTGAGTAGACCGATCTGAAAGGTAACCTAATCTATTGGGTAAATTAATTTTCGAATAAACTGATTTAATAAGTAAAAAAAATTTCAGATATGGTTGGGTAAACCAATTTTCGGGTAAATTGATTTTTAGGTAGGCCGATCTGCCGGATAAACAGATCTCCGGGTAAACCGCATGATTTATTGGGAAATAAGATTTCCAGTTACACCTGATTTTTGTTAGGAAAATAAATTTTCGGGTAACCTGATTCTTTATAGATAAACAGATTTTCATGTACACTGATTTGCAAAATAAATAAAATTTCCCGTAGTCTTTTTTGTTAGATGCAATAACTACATTGTCGTGAGTACACTATGATTTGTAAGATGAACAAATGTTCCGGAAAACTTCCGTGTTAGTAGATATATAGACCGATATGCGCCGGGTAAACCGATTTATCGGATAAACTGATTGACTACATGCGAATAATGCAACTGACCAAAGATTGTGCGGTGAAGGGTTGATGAAGGCCCTCTCACATCTCGTAAGTGGGAGGACTAATAGTTGTTGGTCGAGAGGAGGTTTTGCCCCTATTTCCACCTGTACTTATGGCTTTATAACGCATTGCTTCGCATCAAGTCTGGATTGCCTCTTCTCCCCCCGGAAGGTGCGGTTAGTCATTGGCGTTGGTGGGACCGTTGTCGCATTGCGAATCTCACAAGGGCCGGTTTACATTTCAGTATGTATACGTTCTTTCGTTTCGTCTTTCGCGCGCTCCTTTTGCTTTCGAATATATATACACATTCAACTTGTTTTTTCCCTTCATCGT